TTAGCATTACAGTTGATCCAGATTGGGTTGCAGTTAAGATTACAGTTAATCTGGATTACAGTATCGTCTTCCTTTCTTTTTAACGCCTTTCTTTAACTTTTTCTTGATCTTAAATCTAATCTTTAAACTACTTTGAGTATAAATTAGATTATACAAATAATAATAATGATAATAATAATAATAATTGCCTGTGTCTGAAGTCACTGCCTCGTTCATTCACTCACTAAATTTATAAAGTACCTTTATGTCCCTGCTGGGCTCCTGTAGATGAATCAAACTGCAGTGTTGAGATCACTGTTATTACCTGAACACCAAGTATTTCTCCTTGTTGGGTAACATTGTGATAACAACAATAATTACACACATTAACTGAACAGCTCGTTTTGTTAGTTAAACCGGAGGCGGGTGGGTTCATTCCTCAGCGGTGACTCACAGGCAGCGTGTAAGAGAGTAGTGATGAATCACTGCGTAGATTTCATCCATCAGAGCGGTGAACAGACAAGATGGTGTTACACAATAACCACACACACACACACACACACACACACACACACACACAAGATTACAGCAGTGACACAACTAATAACAGGAATGTGTGTACAGTCATGAGCCCTCTGAGCCTGTCAAACATCCCACAGGGTCTGCGCCCTGGTTGAGGTCTACCTGGCTCAACAGGCATTAAATTCACACAGACACCAGTTCCTGATGACTGTTAACATGATGGTTGGGCTGACTGTCAAACTGGAAATACATTGCTCTTACTTAAGCCGCAGGCATCAATTTCAATCTAGAACATTTTGTTAAAATAGCTTCCAAACAGGTGCAAGAGACTGAAGATGATCCGAACTATAGCGGGACCGATACGGGATATTTGAGGCTGATAACAACAGTTTATTCTCAGTTTCCAGAGCGGGTTTGCTCATTAATGTTTAGTTGTATTGTTAAAAATGTTTACTTTTAGGTCTTTTAAATTATATATAGAGAGAGTATTTGTCAGGGGCAAGATTTAAGAAGTTCTGAATAGGTATTAAAATACAATACTTTCCATTATTCATACTTCTTAAGCTGCTTCTTCATACAAATTAAAGCAATTCAGTCTAGCGTCAGTTTTTTTAACAAAGTTTAAAGTTTCAGTCAAATACTAATTAGACTCCCCCACCTTTACGACTCTTCATACTCCTTCAGCTATTTCTTAGTTAAGCCAGCTATTTGCAGTTTAGCTCCCAGTTTTACACTATATCTGCATCCTTCATCCTTTTCCCCTGTTTTCACTTTTCACTTTTCAACTTCTATCTGCTCATTCATACTTTTAAGCCAGAAAACTCCATTCAAACCATATAATGTTCCACATCTGTCATACATTATTATTATTCATATTGATTATTCAGACACATTTCTACCTGTGGGGTGCGTTTGAACTGTTTCTGTTGACTCCGCTATTATGTAGGTATTAAACAAACATATATATATGTATATATATTTTCTCTAAAATAAGACGTGCATGTTAAGCTTTTAACATTTTGGGGTATTTCTGACAGCATTTGTTGTTTTCAACAGCAACCTAAAACCAGCTGTTTTTGTTTCACTTAATTGCAACTTTCTGCTCACATATTTTACTTACTTACAAATTTTTGATACTTACAAGTAACTAAATCAAATGTGTTTCAAAAGGTAAAATCCAACAACCACAACGGCAGTCCTGTACTGCGGCATAAACTAATAATTATTTAGTTAGCATGTATTTAGTTACTGGCCAACTGTGGTTTGCTGTAGTGCTCAAACATGTTTTCTTTCCATTTGGATTATCTCTTGTCTCTGCAGGAATGGTCCCTGAACGCTGCATCTATCATTCATGAAGTAAATGAGCACTCTGCACGCTGCTAAAAGGCGTTAATGTACAGAGACAGAGCCGCAGATAATTGGCGGTTTCTCTTCCATCGCAGGCCATAAAAGCAAACTTATTGAGAGGCCTTTAAGATATCAAGAGAAAGAAGGACATGAAAGCCAAGAACAGATTCCTGCCCTCATGTGGGACCATCATTGTGTCACTCCTTATCTACAGCACTGCTGTGCACTCAGAGGTTAAACTAATTAGAACAAAAAGGGGAGAGAAATCAATTTTAAACACCAAAATTCATGATCTTTGCGACAGTGTCCTTGTTTTGTTCATGTTCCCCTTTTGGATTTCTGAATGCAGACCTTATTATGGCCACATTGTTCAACAGATGGGAAGCATCACTTAGCAACTGAGAGCTACATCAGATCCACAAGTTAAAAACTACAGTAAACAGCCTTTACAGTAAATAATAACCCTACCCCACCCTCACCATCATCATCATTAGGTAAACACATCATGTCCACTATGTCCACTGAGTGGTTTGAATCAAGTTAACATTGATTTAACATCCTTTCTGGGAACATGAGAGAAGGACTGAAATAACGTCAACAGGCAGCAGGACTGACGCTCAAACGGCAGGAGGTTTTTTTTAAACAAGACACGGAGCTAAAGGTCGACTTTTGATTTGTTTGGATTATTTCTGGCACGTTTGCTCTTGGCAGAAAAACAGGAAGGATGTGATGCAGAATATCATTTTTGGAGAATGTTTTGATGCCTACGGTTCAGAGCTCCCTTACATTTTTGTTAGTCACTTATCCTATTTGCAAATAGGACTGGGCTTCAGTTGCACTCACGGTAACCAACAACAAGTGGCTAAGAAATGAATCAAGTGATGAATAATAAATGTGAGGGTTACACGACAATGACAGCAGCCTTAACTGCAACTGAAAACATGTATCACTACAGCAAAGAAACGACTACTACAGCTACAAATTACGATGCCGTTGGTAGCCTGTAGCATTTTGAAGATTAGATCAGATTAGATTTACATGCAAAAACTTCAATGGTAAATGGACCTGTACTTGTATAGCGCCTTTCTCGTCTTTCGACCACTCAAAGCGCTTTTACACTACTCGTGTCTCCTGGGTGAGAGTGCTGTGTTTGTTTGGTTTGGGTTAAAATAACATATGTAAAGAAATGCAAATAAGTAACGTCAGGTAAAAATAAGTCAACATTGACTTTAGGTTTCATGTGGAATACAAACAGCGGTCTCCTGGGTCCTGTGTTTGTTTGACCCAACCATCCACCCCAGCCTCCTCCATATGCAGACTTGCTCGCTCTTTATACTACATCACCTGACTTCAACGGCACATCAAAGCATCACACCAGAAGTGCACGTACAGAAATTATGCTAGAGGCCATATTTGACAACCTGGGCGTGAGAACTCAGTTTAGTTTTGACAAAGCAGTAGCTTATTAATGTTATGTAATCAATGCAAATGTAGAAGAAAAGTGTAAAGTCTTCACTATAAAATATGACATTATATTCTCGAACTCAGAACCTTTACCCAAATTTCTTGACGAGTGGCCCAACAAAATACAACTGGAACTGGCTCATGAAGGCGCTGAAGTGTTCTGCCTGTTTAGGGCGGAGTTTGTAATTTATAAATAAAATGTAATTAGTAAAATGTGTCCTATTTTGGAAGTTCATTGTCTAGATCCTGGTAATGGGAAGTAATGGGAATATTTCCACCCGCTGAATGTAAGTGTTTCATCGTCCAAGATATTTCCACCTCGATTAAAACAATGAATCTAAAGATGTGATTGGATTATAAATCAGTGGCGAGACAAAAGTTTGTAACAACTGTGATGTTATTACTCAAGTTTCACTATTACTCACTCGCGAAAGTAATATTATTACTAGTAATGCCTTACTGGCCAACTCTGTTCATTTGGCTTTGACTTCTGTCGATCAACATCTGTAAGTAACATTGACTTTTGTTTGCCACAGAGCTTATGTTACAAACCAGGAACCAGGGAGACGCTAACTGTGTCCCTGTGATTTTATTTAGGCAAGAAAACTTCTGCAGTGACCAGGCCTTTAGATTATCTGACTTTAGCCTAGCTTAGCACACAGACTTGAAGTAGGGGGGAACTGCTAGCCTATAACCACCCAAACTGAACTCCAAAGTTGTCTGACTGATAATCTTTTAATTGACTGTTGGCTCCAGGGCTAACTACTGATAAAACCACCATGTCTTGTTTGATAAGCTGCCTCCTTATTTCACTCCACCTTTAAGAACAACAATGATAATATGTGCATTTCCACAGCACTGTTACAACAAGCATTCAACGACAAGTAACGTCAGGTTTGTGTTGAGCAAGACCTTGAATGTCAGAGTGTAGCTATAGATTAACCAACAGGGGCCCTTTGGTTTTAATGGGGAAACTCCCAGCAATAGCAATATAAAAAATCTAAATGTAAAATCAAACTTTCCACTGAACAAGTGAAGCAAACAGTGAGTACTACTAGGAAATATTCTAAAAGCTCTGAATAAACAGTGTTTGTTCATTGTATCCAACTTCACATTCAACATTATCTCATTCATTGTAATTCTAACCACTGGCTCAGAGGCTGAGCGCTGGCGCCACGCCCTGAAACTGAGCACACGTTTGTTTATGGAGGGAGAGGCAGAGGGAAGAGCCCACAGAACCTGTTCTACACTACTGAGAGAGAGAGAGAGAGAGAGACAGACAATTGTTGCAACAGCAACAACTGAAAAACACCTGCTTGGCTTCAAACATTGAAGAGTCAAATAAAATCTACCTGTTCAACAAGAGCCCAAAAACAGAAAACGGCTAAAGTAGTTGAAAAAAACTTTTTCAGTTAAAAGCTACATCTCAGCTTGTAAGACGAGTTAAACACTAACAACAGGACAACAAATGCATCAAAACTGAGACCAAATTCCAACTAAATAAACCTGCCACTAATACAGATTGAGGAACATCCTGGAAACAACATTAATATGATTTAAGCATGGTACATAATCCCCAAAAAGGAAAACATTCATTCTCAATAACTCTAACACCAACACAGAGCTAAGAAGTGTGAAATAAACACAAGTTAAATATCTTAAATTTCTATTTTGTTTTCTAGACTCACCCAGAAAAGTAGGTTGAAGAAGAAGAGAAGGTACTTGATGCATTTATTCACGGCCATGGCTTTTAGTTTTCTTTATCTGCTCCTCCTCAGATGCTTCTCGCTCTCGACTCGCTGCCCTCAACAGATGCAAGCTTCCTACAGCACGGAGGCAGAAACAGAAACTCCTTCAGGCCAGTAAACAGACCAGCCTGCCCTACCTGTTTCCTCCCCCTTTTGACTTTCCTCCCTTGCGTGGTCATTTATGCTTCTTTCTTTTTTTACCTCTCTTTCCCTGCTCAGCATAATTCTTACAGTTCCCTTTTAACTTTTAATTTATAAACTCAACTTCACTGACTTTCAGACTAGTTAGATGTCCATATGTATGGGATTGTTTGTGATCAAATCAACATATATTACTATAACAATAATGTGTGTCTGATGTGTTTTTTCCTGCAAACATTAAAATCATAAAAAAGCAATCTACTCCTTCTGCTTCATTACAAATGACAGAATCTATGAAATATGTAAATGGTGTTAATTTCTAATGTTTTCCTCCTGACACAAGATGTCTCCTCCTTCACTGTAAAGTCCATTATCAGTGTCTGTGCACTGGTGGCTTCAAGTTTCTCAATCACATTTGTTTAAGTTGCATACTGGATGTTACATGCTCGAAAATCTGATTTCCAATGAGCACAGAGAAATTTTCCACTTTCAGCAGATGAATGTAAAAACATCAGCATTCAAACATCACACTGTAGCAACAAGAAGAAACACACATTTTTGACTCTAAATATGTACTTTAAGTCTAAAGTAAGCTGTATAGTACCTCTTTAAATGGGCTTCTTCTTTCCTACCAAAACCTTTTGTGCTGGCCAGAGGGTACTTGGCGGAAAAGCTAAAAATAAAGAATTGCTACTCATAACACTATGATTATTTTGACCTGATCACAGACAGTAAATTTACTCTATCACAGAAAATGTGAGTGAAAATATACAGTAAAGCTCACTGACAACATGGTGAAGGTACAATCAGTAAAATATGACTCTTTATTGCCATCTAGTGGTGGCTGTACAAAACTACAACACAAACACTCCTCCCTTTTTTCTTTTACTTTTTTCCCTCTTGTCAGCAGTTAGCAAACAGCTACAGTCCTCCAGAGATAAGACACGAGGCTGTGAGAGGACACTGTTCTGTGTTTCTACCCATCACATTCGTCACTGGTGAGTCTCCATATTTCCTCATTGATGTTATCAACACTGACATTAAACTAAGAGTCCAGCTGGTTAATAAGTTACTAACTTTACATCAGCCTTGTGTGTGTTCAGCATGTTTTACCAGCAGATCAGGCTGTTTATCAAAGTGTTTCATAATTAAAACACAAATTAATAGATAAATAGCTGCAGAGACAAAACATTAAAGCATTGATAGATAGATAGATAGGATAGAGGGTCAAGTCATGTCAGTATGGACAAGCAGGATTACAGAATTATGGATAGATTGTAACATATGAAGAATATGGATCCGGTAGGATGTTGAACAACTTCTGATGTTGCCAAACAGACCTGAGGAACTCCACCATGGAGTCCTGGGAGAAGACACACACACCATTCACACAGATGCTGTCTGATATCAGCGGGGAGGTTATTCCAGAGGAGGGGACGATGACAGGAGTCCAGTATTCTTTGTCAAAACATAAGCCGATTAGTATGTATGATTGTTAAAAATGACAATGCATAATACTGACAGATAATTTTATAAAAAGCTGCTAAAATATCAGGACAATGCATCTCTAATCCATATTCACAGGAAATAATCTGCTCAAAATTCATCCAAACACAAACTTCCCGCAGTTAATGTGTTCACTGTTTATCAGCTGTTCTCTACTGTTATTATTGAATATAATGTAAAATAAAATAAATCACGTAGTCAGGGGACGTCAGTTTACTCAATGATAGAAAGGGGGTCCCTTAAGGAACCACTGTTCTAGTCAATGAAATACTAGTGAGATTAACCTGAGGTTGAGAAGCACTGCTGTTGGGTACAGTGAGACCTAGGTGCATTAAGCTGAGTGTACAGTAACATTGAATGCGAATAATATCTAATGCATATGTCTTTGATAGAGGGAGATGAGTGATGTGAGTGAGTTAGAGGAAGGATAAGGAGTGTGTGTGTGCCTGAAGATAAAGAAGGGGTGAGAGAGTGCTTGTATGTACGTGGCTAACAGGGACAACAGAGAGAGAAGGCGGGGAGAGAGAGAGAGAGAGAGAGAGAGAGAGAGAGAGAGGAGGGAGGGAGGGAGGGAGAGTGGGTGGGGAGAGAGAGAGAGAGAGAGAGAGAGAGAGAGAGAGAAAGGGCGGGGAAAGGCTTGATTTTATGCAGCTGAAGGAGAGAGTGTGTCTAGAAGAGGCAGTGGTTTACGTCCGGTATCTCGGTAAAACTGCATCTGCTATTTTAAGATTGATTGTAAAATAGTTTTTTGCGTCTTTGTAGAATGTCCTTTTCTCCCTTGTTGTTGAACTTCTTCTTGTGTTTATAGAGCTGAACTTTCAGGCGGTTGCTGTTTGTTTTTGGGCGATAACAGAGGTTAGTTGGGTGGTAATGTTGTCCACAGGATCAGTCAAATTACAGGCTTGCCATTCATTGTCTATGTGAGCAGCCAGGCAAAGCATTCTGGTAGCACTGTGGCGCATTTCGAAAGATGGTGGTTACGTTGGCTGCTGCTCATTTGCAATAAAGTACAGGTCTAGGCAACTTTCTTTAAGTCTTCAAGGGGAAATTAGTCGCTGTGCTCTGAGCAGCATGGAGGCTTCAAAGATGAGGATGGCGGTCTCGTACTTACAACAGGTTTACAACTGGTTGTTTGCTGTAATCAGTCATTTTTATTACACATTCTTGTTTATTTGAACATAGTATGAAGCTTCAACAATCTGAGTAAGAAGAATCAAGTCTTTTTGTTTTCTCTGACTATTTCATGAGCTATGGTGGAGGGATGATGACACAAAAATGTATTTTGAATTAAAAAGTAACTTTGGAAAATCCCCACTGGATTTATCTCACAGTGTGAACAAGAGGAATGACTACAGCAAGCAAATCATGCAAAATAAAAATGTGAACCTATCCTCAAGGCCCCAGCGTACCAGCTACACTTCATTTCCCTAGCACTGTTATCACATTGATGAGCTGTGATCCTCTTCCTGTTCTTGACTTTGTTCTGTAAACATACCCGTAGTCAAGCAACAGGCACCTGCCTGTCTGCTTCCTGCCTTAGCCCTGTTAGATTTGCCTGTTTGAACTGCCATAAAGTTACCAAACTGCAAGCTTGTTTTGGCAAAGTTTCTTTATCGGCAATTGGGGGAATCTATCGTAACTCACTGGGCACGCCTGACCCTACCCATCCATGCTAACTTGCGCTACTAATTAGACAGGCCTAGGAAGAGAGTGACTCAGCCACAGCAGCTCATGTATTCGTAAGACAAAAGGCTTTTGAGTCGCAATCTGCAACAAAACCGCTAGATGCCACTAAATTACACATGACCATTTATCCATTATATTATAATCTGCTTACTTACTGTCAGCTCCACAGCAAATATTTCCATTCATGCTGCAGCATTGAATTTCTATGTAGTATGTATCTTGGAAGCTGGTCTGATGTCATATCTTTTTTCAGGTTGGGAAGGTGAAGGTTTGGGGGTCTGACAGCAGTCAGACAGCAAAGTCTGCCACTATACCTGCACGAGTTTAATAGGTGAGAGTACTTTTAGGAAACAGACGTCTGATGATCATAATTTAACATTTTTTATTCAGTCTGACAACAAAACCGATATCTCGATATCAAAACCAAAGACGGTAACGACTACTAGCCAATCAGTCAGAATAAGATGGGTCATGTGTGTTGTGCTGCCACTGCCAAAGTAATCCATGAATTTGTATGTTTACCACCAATAAAAAATAGATTAAAGTCAAGTCAAGTCAGCTTTATTTGTCAAATATGCTATACATGCACGACATACAGCACAGATGAAATTTCAGTCCTCTCGGACCCATGGTGCAAGTAGGCAATAAAATAAATTTTCTATAGATAGAAAAGACATAAAATAAACAAACAACAATTTAACAAGACATAAAATAGAAAATAAACAATCAAGAAGCAAGGCACTTACAGGATGAAATAGATTGAACAATAAAATATCAAATCTGTTTATCGACACATTTACAGCAGTTTTACGGGTGAAGTGGTATGAGATGAGAGAGATAAATCATTCATCCGATTCAAAACTACTTTTTTTTGCAGGGAGCCAAAATGGTGAAAGCTACGGAGCTCTGGAATATTCTGCAGGATTTAGGAGAAGACGAGTTTAAGCATTTCAAATGGTTCCTGAAGCAGGATGACATCCTGGAGGGTTGTACAGGAATCCCAGTGGCTCGGTTGGAGAAAGCAGAAAGGCAGGACACAGTGGATCTCATGGTACAGAAATATCAGGGTTCTGGAGCTCTGAAGCTAACCTTGAAGGTTTTAGAAAATATCTACAGGAATGACCTGGTGCAGCGTTTGCAAAACTCCAGCCCGGGGGCAAAAGGTAACTACTAACCCCTACTACAAAGGGGTTTCACATGAGTCTTGTTAATCAGTAAATTCATTATGGATTATGTGCTAAACAATAATACGGTTTTAATGAAAATTAGAGAGATCCCCTATCTGTAGGATCAGCATATTTTATTGGATCAGTATCAGATAAAAGAAAGCAAATCGTTTCTTCTTTCAAGTGTTTTGTTAAAATTGTTCAAATGAGAAATGCCGCTAATTAACTTTAATCCTGTGAGCAACTTTATAACAGCCCACAATGAAATGGGTCTGTTTGAGGTAGGGGTATACCAATTGCAGTAAAAATGTGGACATCACAGCCAAAGCAGCATTTTTAAACTAATTAATTTTGTTGAATAGTGATACGCCTTCTCTCTAGGGATTGAGTCTCAATTTCAGGCGTCACAGACTTCCAGTTAAACTTTCATTCATATATCAATAATTATAAAATAGTTGAAACTGCACCTTCAGTATTTGGATTAGGTAACACATAAAAGACAACATGGGCCAAATTTAGTTGACTACGGTTGTCATTTTGTGTAAATACAAATTTAATCAACATTAAGATAAATATCTGCTCAGACTTGGTATAAGTAGATACCCAATTTTTTATAACCTGAAACGGGATTGGGGCCAAAAAAAAACTCAACTGGACATCTCTGATTAGAATATGAATTTACACATGTAAACAAAACATCACAGAGAGGTATTCTGTAAGACTGATCAGATGTTTTTGTGTTCTTCCTCGTTTTAGACGTCACGAACCATGGATCTGTTCTTCTCAAAAGTGATTATGAAAAACAGAAGGCTGAGCTTGGGGCTAAAATTAAACTGATGATCCAGGAGAGACAGATGAAGATCGGAGAAATCAGACACTCAGCAGATCTCAGCAGCAAATCTGCAGACAGACATATCGCAGACAGTGAGCAGGTGTTTACTGCTTTGCTGCAGTCCGTCAAGACAAGTCTGGATACTCTCATCGAAGCCATTAATGAAAAGCGAAAAGAGACACAGAAACAGGCCAAAGAATTCATCCAAGAGCTGGAGCAGGAAATCTCCGAGCTGACAAAGAAAAGCACTAAGATGGAGCAGCTCTCACGAACTGAAGACCACCCTGACTTCCTGAATCTGTTCTCATCCCTGAATGCTATTCCAACCACCAAAAACTGGACAGAAGTCACCATTCCTCCTCCATCTTATGGGGGAAGCGTGGGTGCCACTATGAATCAGCTGGAGGAAAAATTCAGCAAAGAGAAGAAGAAGTTGATCGACAAGGCCAAGTTGAACAGGGTACAGCAGTTCACAAAGGATGTGACTCTAGATCCCGATACAGCAAATCCCTACCTCATTTTATCTGACGATGGGAAACAAGTTTACTGTGGTGGCGTAAAACAAAATCTCCCAGATAACCCGGAAAGATTTAATACTGCTAGTAATGTTTTGGGAAAGCAGAGTTTCTCTTCAGGGAGATTTTACTACGAGGTTCTGGTTAAGGGGAAGACTTCCTGGGATTTGGGTGTCGTCAAAGAGTCGATTAACAGAAAGGGATCGATCACAGCGAGCCCCATGAACGGCTACTGGACTATGTGTTTAAGGACCGGAGTCGGTGTAAAATATCCGCCAAAGAAGGTGGGCGTGTTTGTGGATTATGACAAAGGTTCAGTCTCCTTTTATGACGTAGATACTGCCGACATTATCCAAAAGTTTAATGACTGTTCCTTCACTGAGAAACTCTACCCATTCTTCAGTCCCGGTCCTTATCATGGTGGTAAAAACTCCACCCCTCTGATCATCTCTCCTGTCAATTACAACGATTAGGTGGATTTGATCAAGCATCCATTCAAAACGATTCCACAATTCACGAATCAGCTGAAAAGGTTTCGGGGTTTGGTTGTTGTGCCACTGTCTGTTTGATGAAATGGAGTTACAGATGTGTGTGCTGCCTTGCTATGATCATCACAAATAGTCAAGGAAGTCTTTTCTGGTCCAGTATTCAACTTATACAGTGTGATGTAGAAACTTGAAGCCACGAGCGCACATCAACTGAAAATGGACTTTACATCTTGTGTCCAACAGGAAAACTTGACACATTGTTGTTCCAAGCAGATTATTTGTTCTAACATAAAAACATCTGGAGGGGATCAATAATATCTGTTCTATAAACAAGGATATTAACCTCCCCCAACTTGTAATATATATTATTAATGTATTCTGTATGGTACCCTCTTTTTTTTTTTTTTAGCATTGAGGATGGAATAGCCAGTTTTTGTACTCTCACGTCATTATTTTGAC